GGAGCTGTAAAAGGCAAGGTTAGTTTCAAGGTGTTCAGATGGGTTATCAGTACAATGCAGAGGCCACATCAAACAATCAGGGCAAAACCCTCAGGGTGAATGACTGCAGATGGATGAGACACCCAATCTGTGCCTGTCTGGACAAGCCATAGCCAGGTTAAACCAGTCTGCTATGATCACAGCAACCTGGCCATCAAAAGATGTTGAGTAACTGCTAAAACCAGTTGTGTGTCTTGTCATGCATTTGTCATGTCATAAACTGACAGCTTGACTGAAGAGAATTGATTAATGGTCAGTCACTGTTCTGAGTACTGCACATATGTGTATTCACATGTCTTGCAGTGTTACATTCTAAACTTGTATTTTAAACAGCATTTTGCTATATATATATGTATATGTATATGTATATATGTATATGTATATGTATATGTATATATGTATATGTATATATGTATATGTGTATTATGCATGCAGCTTTTATGAGCTCGTATTGAGAGACTATGAGTCTGTGTGTGTCTGTATAGATAGATAGATATTAGTGATTCTAATAAATTTTATATTAGTTAATATAAATTAACTATTAATGCAAAATAAAAAAATATATATATAAAATATACAAATATCTCTTTTTATATGTTAAAACAAAATTAACTTAATAAAATGTTACATATATTGTAAATATAGTTTAATATATTGTAACATATTTTAATATTAATAATAATTGACTTGGTTAATGTAAAATAAAAAATATAAAATTATGTTCATGCATTGTGAATGTACATGAATTAACAATGAACAAAAGTATATTTGTAAATAAACATTACCTAGATTAATAAATGCTGTGAAAATTATTAATTGTTAGTTCATGATAACCAATGTGTTAAATAATGTTATTAATGTATTAGGGATGGGAAGATTCCCCGATTCGCTCGGTGCATCGGCATAAAAAGTTAACGATGCAATGCATCGGTTTAAAAAGTGTGCATCGGCTACAAGTTGGCACTTATATCGCGACGCATCGTTTCTAACATATTTGCATCGGTAAAAACCGATTTATTTATATATAATTACTAGTGGATGCGCTATACTTTTATTGTTTAGAAAGTGACCAATATTTTATATGTAGATTGATTTCTCCTCTCTAAACTGTTTCTCAAGCGCGTTCTCTCATCATTGCTGCTGCGTGATTGTGACGCATCACAACACCACGGAGACCCGAGGAAAAGCGGGGATTAAAGTACAAAACCTGACCTGAAATAACCTAACAAATCAATTGGGGCTAAAGCGGTTCCATAAATTACAAATGAAGTTCACACAATCTCACTAATTTGTGCACGCTTATTCTTAAGCAGCCCTTAATGTCGATCTTGGATCAAATCGATCCACCATCGCAAACAGCAAAAATATCTGTGCTGTTCAATGCATTTGAGACATTGTGTTTTCCTTAGTTTTCCTCAACTAACATGTCACAGTTATATTCTTCATCTGTAAATGTCAGAAAGTCATACAAACATATCCATTTTGCTGTCAGGCGTGGGCGAGGCTGACGCGCGCTAAACAGACTGAGCGCATTCGAATAGAAGCGCAATAATTCTGAGTAAAATATACATTTTGATAAAATATTTGTTGTTGGAAATTAAATGTGTCTTTTGTAGAATTTTAAACCTACATATAAGTGTATTTTTATGATAGCAGTAACTTTAAAGGGACTATTGTAATAATAGGTAAATCAAATGTAAACTAGTACAGTACTAATTACTAAGCTCAAATGAGTTAATGTGTGTTTCTTATAGCCGTTAAAATAGTCATTTTCTTTATTATTTATTAAAAATTAAAAAATCTTAATTCAGTGATTTTAACTTTTAATTTAGTTATTTTAATACTTTAATATCATTGGGTTCCTATTGGTCAGCGTTAAAGGAACTTAGCTTAGCCTGACAGTTAGCCTGCTTATGACCAGGTCAGTTTCCCAGCATAAGTTGCCACAGTGACTAGCTTGATCTAGGCCAGGGGTAGTCATATTGCATCGAATCGCATTGTGTTGAATCGAATCGAATCAAAATCAGATCGCACTGCATCGTAACAGGGGTGAATCGTATCGCATCACACTGCTGCTTCATATGTATCTTTAATGTATTGTATCGTTGGCTATGCATCGAGATGCGTATCGTATCGGCCTGAGTCATGAGATGCACATCCCTATAATGTATAATGTATTTTTATTGTGTGTAATGTTGTTTTGTTAGATTGTTTATAATGTTATGAATAGATAAACCACAGTGGTAATATGTGTTATTATAATAGTCCATTAAAATGATCTCACATGTATTGTAAACATTTAAAGGGGTCCTATTATGCTCTTTTACAAAGTCCTGATTTTGTTTTGGGGGTGTACTAGAACAGGCTCTCATACTAGCTTGTTCGAAAAGCACATTATTTTTCACATATTTTATATTATTACAACACCTCTCTCCCCAGTCTGGAATGAACGGCTTGAATAGTTCCTGTATCAAATGAAAGCCCGCCTTCCGAAATATGAAATGTGCTGTGATTGGTTACCTGGGCCAGTGTGTGCTGTGATTGGTTAGCTGGGCCAGTGTGTGCTGTGATTGGCACCACTCGGCGCCTCGTCGGGAGGTATGTCATGCCCCTTACCATAGCCGCCTGCTGCGAGCTTCAGTGTAAATATTGCGTCAAAATCAATTTGAGCGCGATTTAAACCCAGATGATTGCAACCACTCTAAGGTGGCCTTGGGAAAGCTAGCGTGTCTCCGACATAGTGGTAACACTCATTGCTTTCTCTAGTGCAGCTCAACCAGGTCTCGTCCCATTCGTCGGCATTTGTGATATCACAAATCCCAGAAAATATGCGTTGTAGTCCAAACGAGTCGTTCGTTGTAGTTTTTGAAAAGTAATTTCTGTTAAATAAAATATCTCCTTTTGAAATCGACTTTGAGCTTTGTAACTTTGCAGATCTTTTTTATGCTCAAACAGCAACATTACTGACTAACTAAAGTTGAAAAAGTGAAAAAGCATAATAGGACCCCTTTAATCTAAAATAAGATCTGAAATGTGCATTTCATGCTCACCACTCATCTAGTTAAACTAACAGTCTCTCAGGATATTAGCTTCATCACAGGATGCTTGCTGTCAGTTTTGACACCTTTGGCCAAGTGTGAGTGAACAGTAAAGCAAATAGGAGTTTCTACAGTTAATGGATATGTCAGACATGGTGTCACCTCGAGATCTGACACTTTGGAAATTCATTCTGTCAGATTCAATGGTTCTCAGTAGCACAAGAGCGTATATCACTCAGAAAGATTTCACTGCAGCGAAGGACCTTGAGAAAACATGTTCGCTTAACAATGTCCCTGTTGAGCATACATCAATGCTTGTCGTAAATCAGAGACGTGGAGAGCTGGAAAAAATAGAGAGCACAGATGGAACCTCTAGCATGCGTGAATCAGTAACATTCTCTTCTATTATCATCATCTATCTCAAACACATGCAATGACTCAACAGAGCAATTCTTCAGTACTTCAGATTAACTTCTCCTCCTTGAGTTGCACACCAAACTAGTTACCGCAAAACAGTTCAAAGTGAGAAATTTATCTTAACCTTGACACGCCATTGTTCTGTCCTGCCAGAACTCTCTCTTCTCTGGTATCCATCATTCTCCACATTAGCACATTCCCTCTATGTGACAACCAGGCAGAGGAGATTTGTGGCCCTCATTTCCTTAAGATCCACCATAAAACTGCCGGCTTTGTCTGCAAGGGCCACATCGTTGTTGAACTGAAAAAGCATGAAATATGACCCCCAGTCGCCTTGGTATCATTATGAAGAGCCCGACAGAGGGTGGTTTCTCTGTCTGGCAGCTATCACGAGTGTTTTTAGAGGAATTGTAGTTTGCATGACCCACCTTTAAAAAATAAAGGTTCTTTATTGGCATTGATGGTTCCATGAAGAACATTTAGCATCCATGGAAACTTTCCATTGCACACAAGGTCCTTTATAGTGGAAAGGGGTTCGTTAGTTTGTTAAAATGTTCTTCACATTAAGATAAAAATGGATCTTTTAAGAACTTATCACTGATAAGTTCTTAGGTAGACCCAAAATTTTTCTTCTGTGTATGAGATGACACAATAATGTCAGATGGGATTTGAGCATAGAAGCCAGACAGAATTTTTCACATGCAAATATCCAGGCAGCTGAAAAAAAAATCAGGGTGTTCACATTGCATGTAAATGGAAATGAATATACAGACCATGTGTTTGCATATTTAAATAGTCCAGTTTAAATATAGAGCTAGTTTATCATCAGTGACTGACCAGGAATGCCAAGTATGTGGTGCAATTTCACAATGATTTGGAATTATGTGCATTCAAAGCTATGATTTAAGATGGAGCAGATTAACATATAAATAAGGTGCTCACAGAGCCAGATAAATTGGAACAGTAGCATGGTTTTGGCAATTTTGCTGTTGTTTTATTCAGCCGAGTGCACACAAAGATGTGTATCATTTTTGATTATCACGTGGAGTCCAAGCGTGAAATAACTATACTATAACAACTATAACAACGCAGGCCTCCCGGGCACACAATCATTAGCACCATCTGATTAATATGTTTTAATAAAAAAATAATGCCTTTAGTTGCACAAAACCATTTTAAAACATTTAAACAGCACTCTTGGGAGGCCTGAGCTGTTCTTAAGGCATGCCTAAATCTGATAGCTGACTGTAGCCCATTAAATTCCTGCTTTTCTTAGGATTATGAGGAGAGTCAGTGTAAAAATATCAGAATATTCATGCTGCTGGTATGGAAATAAACAAACATTTTGTCTTTGAAAGGATAGTTCACCCAGACAAAAAAAAAAAATCAGTCATTAATGTCGTCTTTATGTTGTCCAAAACCTGTATGACTTTCTTTTGTGGAGCACAAAAGGAGATGAACATGGATAGGGAGATTAGTCATAAAAATTTAATTTGACAACTATGGTCACTGTTCACTTTCACCCTATGGAAAAAAGAAACACAGAAAAAAGAAAATCATACAGGATTCAAAAGAGAGAGATGAGAAATTCTGGGGTGAACTCTCCTTCTAAATGAAACATGAAATGATTGGTTTGTCTTAAACAAGTCACTAGTCCAGCTCAAAGATGCTCTCACACTGGGACTATAAATTACCGTCTTCCTGCCAAAAGAGTGAGAGCTTTTCAAGCTGTATTCTTCCCCTTTGTCTCAGCGTAAAAAGACTGCAGCCAGCAGCACACGTGGCCATCTCTGTGCAAACTCCCAGAGCCGTAAAACTACATTACCACAGGGAAGGAATCAGATACACATATGCCCCAGAGACCACTCAGTTTACAAAGCACCTCAAAGCCTTCCAGCCTATGAGTTATTACTGACAGAACCTGAAGAACACAGGTGAAAATCAGTTTGTACTATTTCTTTGAGTGACACAATTTAAAACTGAATTGTCATTTATGCAACCAACATGACCAGAAATATATTGATTGTTGCAAACAGGTTTCTCAAACTCTACCCCTCCACCATAGAGTGCAGAAGTTGGGTTTTGGAAGTATAAAATCCATTTTCCAATTCCATTTCATTTTCTCAGTAAGGGAATAGATTTTTAACAATAAACCATTAAAGACAGACCTACTGTGAGATATGAGATTGTTAATAGTATATGGTTTTGTTGAACCCAACAGTCCGCATTATTTGAACTTACTTTTTTAAATAACCATGTTTAACAGTGGGATAACCTTTAAAAAAACTACAATGCCCATTCTGCAAAAAAAAAACAAAAGAACGCACACACCAACTCACATAACAAAAATAACATAATAGAGTAAAATACCCTTTATTATGCATAAAAGTTACACATTTCAGTTTTAAATTAGCGGTTTTCTAACTTTTTCCCATTCTGAAGCAGTATATAATATATTTTTAGTGGACATTATGTTTCATAGCAAATGGTGACTGCCAGTTTTTCAGTTGCACACATAGCTAAAACACCTGAGCAAACCTTGTTCTTGTGAAACACAACCACCTGTCATAGCCACATTCTCTAAGCGTGAAGTTGTCGGACAGTACTTAGCAAACGGGGAGGAAGAGATGACAGATCCTGTATGTAATTTAAGCCCTCAGCGTTAAACTGCCTCTCTGATCATTGATTTACTTCAGTCCTAAGGTGGAAAGCCTAGAGTGTAACGTAAGAATTTAAAAATGACTGTAAATATTAAAAACCTCAGAACTATGAAGCTTTAATGTGTCTTAAGAAGCTTTGTAACTCTAATTTGTCTAACAATGTCTAGAGATGTAACACTCAAAAAATTAGCCCATTAGCCCTTGAGTGGTAAAACCTCCAAATCTGATAAGAACTGACAACATCAATTTTAATTAAAAGACTCTTGATTGACAAATGTGCCACCATAGGGTTTTCCTCCTTTGTAAGAGATTTAGCAGTCATAGAAAAATCATATTATGGTATTTCTTATCGAACACACCTTTAAACATTCCTCTGACTTTCTGCACCCGACCAGCAAATGTTAGTCTTGCAAATTATTTTGTGTTATTTGTGATAGTGTACATCTTTATATTATTATAATAAACTGTGATTTTTAGTATGTTGTTGTATACCTTTATCTTTTGTTTTCTTTTCTCTCTGGAATGCTTGATTCTGACTGGTCAGTCAAAACATTCATCTGTAATTGTTTTATATAAAGACCACTAAATTAAGACAAAAAAAATCATTGTCCAAAAAATTATTTTAACTCAATTCAGTAGTTCATGTTTATGCATTTATTTAGTAAGTAGCTGTCTAATAGGTTGAATAATGACTGATCACCCTGTTGAGATGATATTTTGCGGTACTGACCTACTGACTGTACATTATATCTTATTTTAGATATGCAGAAGAGGAAATGTGACTGTATTTCTGTATTTTGGGGAAATCCCAAAGTTATGACATCCACAGAAGTTAAATATTTAAATGTGGATGTTTTTACATATATAACCCTAACAATATGAGCCAGTCAAGAAAAAAAAGTTGGAATATGGGCCAAATATCAGTGGTTGCTGCCCTTGCTGGTGAGGAACCAAATCATTAATGCCCTAAGCTTTGCTTCTCCAAAAAAAAAAGGAAAGAAAATGGAGATTTATGTCAAGCAGCTGTGTAGCTGTCGGCTGCTGAGCCATAGAGCTGAGTGAGAGGGAGAGGAGGACAGAGAACACCTGGGTATGGAGCTCAGAGGCAGGCAAGAATCACTTTCATCTGCCCAGGCAGCAGTGGAGGGAGAGAGAGAGAGTTGTCTGCACTCACTTCATACACTCTCAAACAGTTACTACAGGCTGTCAGCAGCTCTCACACATTCTCATTCAGACCCTGGTCGGCTTTACTCTGGGGGAAAAAAAAGCCCCCCTCTGCCAGGAAAGTGAGACCTGAGCATTTTGAGAAAACTATTTTACTCATTATACATTAGTTAGTTCCGGCTCTCAAATTTAATTGGTCAAGAGATGTTACAAGAGTGCTTATCACTGTGAGTTTTTGCTGTTTGTATCACTCAGCTTGTCTGTGTTAGTGACTTTTTCTACATTTTATGAGCGAGTCATTGAATCATTCATTCAGCCATTTAGTTCAAACACATCGATTCATTCAGGAACTAAACAAGTGACTGTTGTTATGAGTGAGTCATCGAATAATTCACTCAACCAATTCGTTCCAAACCCGAATATGTAAAAAGGATCAACAGCCGGCCATGTTATGCTTAAAATGTAAGTTACTCAATATTAATTTCATGTTTATTGAAATCAATATCTCACTCATAATCATGCTGTTGTTACAGCACTCTTGATGGTATTCTATATTTCTTATGCAATATGGAATAGGAAGTGTTTTTAAACCAAATGTATTCAATTGAAAGTAACTGAAAATGTTACCTCTCCAGGATAACAAGGCATGATCAAACGCTTGTTGTTGCAAATATTGCCAGATTTAGTAGTACTGACCTACTGAACTCAATGACTGAGAAGTATCGGTTAGTTATGCTGATGCAGCACTCAATTTGATTAATCACTTTTGGCGGCTTTGACTCTTGAACCAGGGCATCACAAGCATACACCCATTCTGCAAATATTTCTCTAAGGGCAAAACTTGTCATTCTCAGGAAAGACAGGAGAGAAGAGCAGTGAACATATCTAAACGTCAGATAAGTATCAGAAACTGTCAGAAAAGAAAGCGAGAGCCCTGACATATGGTCTGTTTTGAGTTTGTGTTAATGGTTGAGTCACACGGGAGCGTCATCAGGCATGACAGAAGAATGTCATGGTGAACGCGTTCATTCGCTGGGTCTGCATCTCATCTTCATGAGGGCTTGGACAGCGCTGTATGAAAACATCTTGGCTCATCTGTTACTGTTTCTCACCGCTTTCATCGCTGGAGATGGATTTCACCATTAGATGCCACATAGCACATATTGTTGAGTCCTGTATAGCTCATTAGAGATCAAGGGGTCACTGCATGTGCTCAAAAACAGACCTCTTCCTTCAAAAGAACCATCACCAGCATGTGATATATGGCCTAAACTGGACTGCTGTCTGTTAAAAGTGAAAGCAATTGTGTTTAGTGCTGGATGGATTTGGTCTACTGAAGGAAAAGATGGAAAAATTTATTGTCAACTGGACTTAATTTAATCAATCGAAATTTCTTCTAGAACATTGTAGTGATACTTCAACTGCTTTAGAAAGAGTACAGAGACTCATATTTTGAAGCAAACTCTCAATACACTTGAGTGTTTCCAGATCTCCAGAGAAAACAATCCTAGAAGTTGCAATGAAATGGAAGTATCAACATGTCTTTTCTTCTGTATTGTGACATATATATATCTGTGTGTCGCAGATTATCAAAAAATTAAACATGTAGGCCGGGAACTTGGTTCTATGCCTCAGTTGTTGATTGTATTTTAGCATGTGAGCACTGCATGAATGTGAAAATGAATGAGGTTTTGCAGTTGATTGTAAGGGGTGGAGTTTAAGTGAAACTACATAATTTGAGTAATTTTCACTGGAAGATTGAGTTATGACAGTTTGATTAAAAAGTAGAAGGTCAAAAAAAAAAAAAAAGGAAACATACATGCATGAATTGTTCACAATAACATCTATAATATGCATTAAAGGAATAGTTCGCCCAAAAGATGAAAGTTCTTCTATCATTTACTCACCCTCAAGTTGTTCCAAACCTGCATGAATTTCTTTCTCCGGCTGAACACAAAAGAAAATATTTTGAAACATATCTTCTTTTGTGTTCTGCAGAAGAAATTCATAGAGGTTTATTGGAACAACTTGAGGATAAGTAAATGATGAAAGAATTTTCGTTTTTGAGTGAACTACAGATATGGTGATTTTTCATTTCAACTTTAGACACGTCAGTAAATATTCTGTAAATACTTCCAAAAAAGCAACTCAATCTGCAATTGCCCATATTTATAGGTAAATTTATAGAGAAAAAAGCTCAAAATCACTTATAATAAGTGAACATGGCAACACTAATAAACTTCTACCTATGTTTTTATTTTCCTGACTAGATTAAATCAAAGGCATTTTTATGATCTACCTGAGTGCACTCAAGTATCTAATCACTTAATGCAACATTTGTTTCTTCCACAGAAAATATCAGGCCTTGAGAGAGAATAATAAAGGAAAAACCTTGCCTGAGTGTGCTAATTTCATTCTATCTGTTCTCTTTTGACTACAGGAGCCTCTTGCGCTACTCAACGATCCCCTCATTTCCTGGTGCTTTAAGGGGAACCGGAGTTGTGTCCCTCCTGTTTGATTGATTATTAGAGTGACCTGAGGGTGAGGGTGACCTACTCAAGCACATTGTGAGGCCCATGACATAGGAAAGGCAAGTGTAAAACATGAGGGTCTTACCCCAATTACCGTACAGAAGTGCAGAAGTGACCTGCCCATTGGCGGTTTGAGATCAACAAGCTTTGCTTAATTCATCTACAAAAACCTAGAAGTAGGCCACCTTAGTACTACACAACACACAACATGAAATACTGAACTATAAACTATTGCTTCCTTCATTCTACAGCACAATTGCACAAGAAACCATAGCATATCAGTCTATAAAACACATATGTGACCCGGGACCACAAAACCAGTCTTAAGTGTCAATTTTTCAAAATTGAGATTTATACATCTCTGAATAAAGCTGAATAAATAAGCTTTCCATTGATGTATATGGTTTGTTAGGATAGGACAATATTTGGTCGAGATACAACTATTTGAAAATCTGGAATCTGAGGGTGCAAAAAAATCTAAATATTGAGAAAATCGCCTTTAAAGTTGTCCAAATGAAGTCCTTAGCAATGCACATTACTAATCAAAACTTAAGTTTGGATATTTTTACGGTAGGAAATTTACAAAATATATTCATGGAACATGATCTTTACTTAATATCCTAATGATTTTTGGCATAAAAGAAAAATCTATAATTTTGACCCATACAATGTATTTTTGGCTATTGCTACAAATATACCCCAGCGACTTAAGACTGGTTTTGTGGTCCAGGGTCACATATCACATATAAAGCTACCACACAACAATTAACTATTAAAAGTGTCCAGATGTTCAGTGTCAAATTCATAAGATGACACTGGTGAGATTACACACAAGCGTCGCTTTGCTTGGCTTTGTTTACAGAGTGTTGGGTCAAACTATTATGTACCAAAAGAGTGCAGATGGTCTTGTTATTTGAGAGGCGATAGGTTAAATGAACTGTATCAACACTAGCTGTCAGTCAGTCAGTCTACTAGCGCAACACTCCCCTGTCCGGGAATGCATTGTCTCCATTTAGACTTACGAGAGGTCTAAAAGCTTCTTGTGTACATGTGTGCTGAGCAAACTCATCGTTAATCCTTAAAACATTGCAAATTATGTGATGCATGTCCACCTAAATCACTCACCTTCAGCTTTGGCAGAAATACTACAGTACTTGTCTTATTGATAATATTGAGTAATCAGCTTGACACATAAAAGGGAGAATTCACCCAAATATGTACTCACACTCAAGAAATTTTGAAGAATGTTTCAACATTTTTGTCCATACAGTGAAAGTCAGTGGGGTCCAAAACAACACTGGACCCCACTGACTTTGATTGTATGGAAAAAAACAACATGGTTATGAAAGAATCTCATACAGGAGGGTGGGTAAATAATGACAATGTTATTTTTGGGTGAAGTATAACTTGAAAGGAGGGTCTCAAGTTCCTCAAGCCCACCTAGATAATATGTCAATCTGTGCCGCTCTCTCTGATGTTAGTAACCGTACTGAAAGTAGTGGAGACATGTGGTGGAATTCTCCAAAGTAAACAGCTTTCATTGTGCCGAGACGGACATGCACAGGCATACGCACATCTATGCACTCTATTTAACATACAGACCACACATACTGTTGATATAAGACACTAAGCTTAAAGAGACATATATAAATATAAGTAGAGCTTCCTGCTCAAGTGACATTTACAGTCACATATGAAGCCAAAAACAACAGCACATCTTAATAAAGCTCTACGTACCCTCAACACAGGCCTTGTCTCAACTTCAATCGCTTGTTCCTTTCCTGATATCCTACACCATGTCTGAGGTCTGCTCTATTCGACAGGCACAGACTACACCAAGCACAGAGGAGAAAAAAATACAGCATGAATTAGCATTCCTAAAGCAATCATGTGACTTCAAAGCACCAATAGGCCGCTCTGGATTCGGTATGATCCACCTCTAGCTCCTCCCTTCTCTTCTCTCGTTTCGCTCTTATAGAAACCCTTTGACAGGGTTGTGATACATGTGGTCTGTTGATGCACCTATTTCTGCTATCAAACACTGAAATTTAGATGCTCACTATGCATAATGCAATAAACATGTACAATATATATATATTTGATCTATATATACAATATATAGATCAAAAGATCACATTTAGGGTTGTAAATACTGTAATATGTGAATGAAATGCAAAAATTATGTCACAAAGAGGGGTTAAATGCAAAAAGTATGAAGCAACAGTGTCTTTTTGCTATCAGAATTATAATATTGAGAATCAGACCCTCAGTTTGCATATTGAAAGTAAATATATACAATATAGAGAAGAGTACACTATAATAGCATAATAAAAATCACATATTTAGTGTGTTCTATGTGAATGAAAATGCAAAAAGTGTCATAGATGCTGTGAGAAAGCGGTTCAGCCTCTGCGGTGAGCAGAGGGAGGAATTGTAGTCTAACAACAGCGTGCTAATGTCCTGTCTGCATGTGTGCACTATCCTCCATCTTATTAAGTCTCTGTGTCTCATTAGACCCGGTGGGGGGTGGAAGCCTACAACACACCTCTGTTGCTTGACCATGACCATGACGAGCCCACCTCAACAAAGAGCATTAAACAGCAATCATGGATGAATGCTGAACACCTCAAGTACATGATTGGACTGGTCTGGCTCAAGGGTGATTCAAACAGTAGGTTTTTTTCGGTTGTGGCATGAGGCAATAAAGTGGCTGAATGTGGAACAGGATGCTGCGATACTAAAAGCTGTTAAGTGATGGGAGGTGTAATAGTCTGGGACACACAGGTGCATAAGCAGCATTGGCATAATTAAACAGGTCAGAGGACAGCCAGGAGAATGAAGGGGGTGATTGTGCTATTTTCTGCTCTGATAATAAGTTCCTTATGCTTCTGTTATGTATGTATGTGTGTGTGTGTGTGTGTTAGAGAGAGAGAGAGAGAGAGAGAGAGAGAGAGAGAGAGATCGTTATTCTGTAATGAGCCTGTACAGTGTTTTATGTTTTAGAAGAAGTGAGAGCAACTTAAACCAGGGAAATATATTAGTGTTTTTTAACTCAGATAACATAAATGATCAGTTTTATTTGTTATTGTAGCAAAATAAATGACTAGGATACTATTTGGAAAACATTTGCTTATTTTAATTTCATTTCTATGTTTACACTGTCATATATAAATATAAAAAATGTTTCAACCCAATATTTGAATTTGAATACGATTTTCAATTCAAATGTATTTGCATAGTCATTTTAATAACATATGGTTTCAAAGCTGCTATAATGTAAGAGAAAAGAACAGAAAAAGAGTTGTTCAACTTATGAGCATGCTACAGGTGACAATTGCAATAAAAAAAATGAAACGTATATGCATACTTGTTTTTTTCTTATTAAAATTTTCCAAATAGCACTCTCTTGCCCTGGACCCCAGTTTGAAAACCCCAGATTTAGTCCACTTGTGGTTGGGGTACAGTACACTACAAGACTTGTTGATATTTTTGGTATTAGGTCTAGCCTTTGTATTAACCACTAGCTAATAATTAGTACAGGTATGTGAGCATCCACTTCGGTAGGAAAAAATCTGCCAAGAACATAAGCAAAATAAATACTCTTGAATAAGAGGAAGTCAATCCAGATATTTTAGCTTCTAACCTACATGTATATCAGACGTGAGTTCTTAGTGGTTCCATGTGGCAATACATTAATTGAGGTTTCCTGACACATTTTATTTAAATATCATTTGAACATGCCGAGGCAACTGAGTTTGCATGACCATACCATCCAGATAGAAGTTTATCAGGTGTGGTCACAGTTGTGTATTATGTCTGTTTTATTAATATGGTATGCGATAGTTTTATTTGTTCAACTTTTGTTTTGATCATGGGCTGATTGTAGTGAAACTCTTTGGAATCTAATGATCCCTGGGTCAACTGTGAACCTGGGTTTTAAATGTGAAAATCAAGTTTAAGTGAAAGTTCAAGTGAAAATCAAAATTTATTCTAATTTGTTGAGTTTCAGTGATTTGGTGTTATATATGAAGACTTCAGATGCAAAGACCTCTAAGTCCATCTGAGATTTTTTTTTCCTTTTAAATGAGCATTTTTATCAGGCTTCTATGTTTAGGTTCAGTAATTTCACTTTAATGTCAAATAAAAGTTTATTAGTCAGTTATTGAATGCCTTATTTTCAAAAATGTCCAATGTTATTTTTTTATAGGAGCCTGATAAAAATGCTCATTTAAAAGGAAAAAAAAAAATCTCAAAATCTCAGACTTTTGCATCTGAAGGCTTCATATATATAAGTAAAATGAAAGCTTGTAATGGAAGCCAGTGAGATCTTTATAGATTATTAGATGATACTTAAATGCTTAGTTTTAATATCAAAGTTCTGTAGTTTTTATTGTGGAGACAAAACATATAATACAATGGAAGGATGATTGAGAGATGTACGACCAAATGTTTCTCAAAAGCCTGAGGTATCATATTTGATATCATATCTTAGCATGGTTTTTCTGAGAAATGATGTATGGATAATCAAGTAAACCTAAGTTGCTTCAGTCCAGTAAATATTCATCTTGAAAAATTACTAACAATATAAAAGTTATTCTGATATTTACTTGTAAGTTTATAAAAATCATTAAAGATTTCGTAGCAAAAATACACGTTTACCATGACATGACTATCTATCTATCTATCTATCAGAAATTTTGAAAACAGATATATAAACTCAACAGCATTTCTTGTAAGACTCAGAAACTGAGCTGAAAGACTAGTTTAGTTGTGCTGAAGTCGTTCTGATTACCAATAGCATACGCTCACTCAAATTAAAGTGGCACAGTTTGTCATAACATTTTATTCTAATAGATATCACTGATGCAATAGGAAATGGTTCTTCATAAATCCTGTACGGATTAAAGAGTGTAGGCCAATGCAGTGACCTGAATCCACTTTATATGGCTGATTGCTGCCGTCATTGCTGCCACCACACAGGCACATTCCTTCTCAAAATTACCGACAAGGCACTGATAGATGATTGGTAATATTCATAGGAATTCACCCGACCAGCCAAGACAGTGAAGTTTCACAATGTTGCAAGATTACCTCAAGAAAACAATGAAAGGAGCATTAAATTGAGGAGCGGTTGAGTCACACATCTGTGTATCTGGTTAATGAGAACATCCCATTTCTATTTCCAGAACAGGAAAGACTGACACTGGATTAGCAGGATCCATCACACTTTACAAAGCTGTTGTCGGGGCGAAAAAGAGCTCACCCCCACTCAGCGCTGTTCCTTATCAGCCGTAAACGCCCCAGCGTCACTGTAATTGCCCCCATATATACGAGACACCCACCCCTTTCCCATCCATCTCCCTTGTGTTGAGCTGTAAATCACTCACCTCCTCTGAATAGGGGCAGACTGCTGCCTGTCCATCCACACACATGCCATGAACAGCCTACTGCCATTTCTCATCCCTAGAGACAGACATTCACATTTGTAATAACAGGACTGATTTTTTATTTCCAACTGATATCTTTCATGGTTTCATATGGTGCAGTGTCTTTTACAGGTTATCTGTGGTTAATGCTGTCAGTCTGGCTTGCACTGAAAAAAAAAATCATTTTCATCTCCTGCAGTGAACACGACAAAGGTTCAGAGGTCATAATCAATGTTTACATGACATCACACACAATTACCGTCAACATGATCCATTATGCAAGGCTTTCCCTCTGAAATATTAATGATAAGTACAGGAATATCCCTGAGGTATTTGCTCTACTTCTTTAGAATATTTTTTGATTAATGCAAATATACACTGTATAGAAAGTAATAAGTGAGTAGAATTTACCTTTTGTAAGCCGTTCTTAACGTCCAACAGACACAGTATACTGTAAATACAGAAAATAGACATTTCAACCTTAGTATTTTACTGCTGCCATCTACTGGCGAGTTGGTGAAAGTTCACTTCATTGTACAGCACAGTAGATGCATGTCTGCTCATATTACAGTCTTTAGTCTTTGTGGATATTTACAGGTGTATTTAAAATGAAGGACTATTTCACAAATTATTCTGTACAAACCAGTGAACCTGTATTTCAGCGTAGGGATGGCCTGCCATTATATTTGGTTTGTTTTCACTCAGTCAGAGGTTTCCAGACTTTTTGAATGCCACTGACCCCCAAAGTATGATGGTTACCTTGTGAAGGACTCCCTTTCTTAAGATGTAAAGTCAGCTACATATTTTCATATAGTGAAAAACAAAAATGTTAGCCTATATATAAACTATTATATCTGAAATATAAAATAAATATCTATAAAATACTGACACATGTATGTTGACAGGACACATGTTTCCTTAAGAGAAAACATAAACCTTAAAACTATATGGCTGTCAATAGAATATAATAATCTTTTAATTTTAGAAAGTAAATTGCCAAGTAAAATGTCATTAGGTAAATGTGTAGGTTATTTATTTTATTTTATTATACTTACTAGATTTTTTAGATTACAAATTATATAATTATTATTTTTTGAATTATGTATTACTTTTAGTGAAAAGTGTTTGTTTGTTTGTTTGTTTATTTACCATTCAAAAGTTTAGTGTCAGAGCTTTTTAAAAACAAATGAATACTATTATTCATCAAGGATGCATTAAATTGTTCAAAAGTGACAGTAAAGACATTTATGTTAAAACTCTTCTATAATATTTTTATATAATAAATGTTGTTCTTTTGAACTTTCTGTTAATCAAAGAATCCTGAACAATATATCACAGTTTCCACAAAAATATTAAGCAGCACAATAATTTCCAAAGTTGATTATAATAAGACATATTTATTGAGCATCAAATCATCATATTAGAATGATTTCTGAAGGATCATGTGGCATTCAAGTAATGGAGTACTTCAGTAATGGCTGCTGAAAATTCAGCTTTGTCAACATAGGAATAAATTACATTTTAAAGTATATTCAAACTCAGTATTATTAGTATTATTATTATAGTCATATCCAAACTGTTGAATGGTACCGTATTTTGAATTATGCATTACATTATGTAATGTTTTAGGGTTGAAAGAAATGTCTGGAAAATGTACTGGGAATTTTCCTTTTCCTTGTCCATTTTCCTACAGCTTTGTTTATTTTTTATTACAGTGTAGTGTACATGAAGATGACTTTGTTGTCATGGTAACCTGTGATCAGAACAGGCAAGGTGCAGAAACTTCCAGTAGCTTGATTGAATTAGACATTACTGTATGTGTATAGTAATAATGTATTGTAAATCTGAATATTGAGTGAGCCTTTCCAGTGTGATTTGTTTAAATGGTGGTCAAAAGCTGATGACATGGATATTTGCTCAGTTGCTGAATGAGGCATCAGGTGAAGAGCAGCATGTAATGGGGGTGTTTTCATGTATGTGATGAATGAGATGTGGGTTGTGGCTTGTGTTTGCCTTTGTGCTGGAGAAGCAGACAGCTGCTTCTCATTCTGCATTCTGGTCTCTCTTTTTCTCTCTCATCAGCATGACCACCACAGACAAGACCAAACCTAACGAGACCACCAGCCTGGTTAGGCCGAGTGATAGCAGCAAACAGGTAAGTCTCGTTTTCAGCATCTTAGTATTTTGATGAAAAGCTCATTTAATTATGAACAACATTTTGATTCAGAACTGTTTTATTAGAACATTTATACTAATTATGTGCTAATGGTTTATAGCACATATATATTTATTATATTTATTTTGTGCATTTCTGGATATATTTTTTTTGTATACTGGATACTGGAGGCCTCAAAAATTAAGACACATAAAAATGAACAAATTTCATTGCATTCGAAAATGAGATAATTCCAAATACTGTATATATATCTATTATATATAAAAGCATAAACAGATAATTCCCACATATGCTTTTGAAGCTGATTTGGGCAGGGCTTCCTCTTCCATCTGTGTTGAGTGTGCTGAAGTGGTCTGGACGGAAGTGGTGCTTGAGGTTTAATCAGATTATTAGATGGGACTGCATGTGCTTTGTAGCTCTCAAATGATACTCCCAGCCCAGTCTGTTATCATAATATTTCCATGCAGTTTTCAATTCTGTGGTCTTTGGTTGAAACATGATCAGTGCTTGGCATCACACATCAGTTGATGTTCACATTTCTATCCCAGATGAAATCAAATCACATGATCCAAACCTTTTCATGCATATTCTCTAATGTGCAAGTGTAGTGACACTGCAGTTAATGGAACAAACTAATTTAACATGTTTTGTTATGTAATACAGTCAGGGACAGAAGATACTCTAATAGGTTAAATTTAATATAAATTTTAGATTTAATCTTATTTTTAACAAAATCATAACTTAATCTTAATTTATTGGAAAATTTTGTCTCAAAACAGAAAATTAAGCTTAACATAAAATCTCATTTGACTTAGTGAATCTATGTATTTCAATAATTAACATGTTAAATCCATAATTCTAGCTAATAAGATCTACTTTCCCTATTTTACAAATATCAAAATCATAGTAAAACAAATGTTAAGGAAGAGACAATCAACATGAATCTCATTTAACATAAAACAACAATAAAGTAACAAAACTATAGAATACATTAGAAACTAAAAAATGAATTTATAAATATAAAGTTTATCATATAAATATCATATTTATTTATAGGAGTTTTATATAGCAAGCCTTTAGGATGACAGTGAAAGAAAATAATATTTAGAAAATAATATATAATATAATTTAAAAATAAAATGTAATATTGTAATTATATTATAAATACACATTTTTATTCCAAATTACATGCTTCAATATGAAACACATAAGAACTACTATTAGTGTAAGCATTGCGATAAGTCCTGCAATAAAACCAATGTGCAGAGAAGTTTTTTCATCAGTCATACTTGAGGAAGCATCTGTTTATGAAGGAAAGCAACCGAAAGATCAAGTCATATTGATGTCAATCATGTTATAACAAGCTGCATACTTTATTTTTTTTAAATAGTGTTTTATCAAAGGAATGTTTGTGATCTGTTCTTACCCCATGTAAGGACCATCGGTTCTCGAAGACTGCTGTGCTTTATTTGACAGGAGTAGTTTTGTGTAGCGTCAGATAACAGAATTGTCACATGAATTTGGTATGTTTGGTCATGATTTGGCAGGAAGCCTGTTGATATCCCATCTAAGGCTGGCTGTCCATTAACCATCCACTCTACAGTGATATCTTTAGGGTAAAATCCCGTCACCACACAGTTAAGAGCTCCAGCACGCTTATGACTGATCACAGCTTCAGGGCGAACTGTAAGCGCAGATGAAACACACACAATCAACAAGATTACAAAAATACATCAAGCTGAGTACAATGTGTTTTTGTTAAACGTAAAACCGGTTTATCAAGCTGTATATAACCTGGTTGGATGCATGAATATCTATAAACAACACTGGATACATTTAAACATGCACAAACACACTTGCCTTTCTGGTCAAGTATTGTTCTACTGTGTTCATAGAACTTCTTGAGTCGAGGAACACAATCCCGATGAATGTATATGAGATTATTGTGGTTCCAGAGCTCAAACCTGTTTAGAATGTTCTTAATGTCCAGATCTTGTGGCAGATATGAGTACCATTGAGGGCTGTCCATATCCATAGAGAGACTATACTCTCCATTGACTGAAAAATGATACAGTCCACTTGACGTTCCATTATGGCTCAGCTGACAGCCATACATTAACTGCAAGAGTGGACCTAAAAATACAAAATCATCATTTAATTAGAACTGGAACCATTTTTAGGAATGCAATGTAGTGTTTCATACTACAGTGGAGGACTAATTTGCTGCAACCTTCTGGGAATATTGGTCTCTATTAAAAAGGCACACAAAAGCTGTTGTGATTCTGAGCGTAGTAACTCTCTAGTGCCCATTACACAGTCCCAGATTAATGTAATATTTGCAGTTATTAAATCTACAACTCTGTGTGCAGAAGCTGATAAATTAGATGATACTGGGATTCTTGTATAAAGAGCCTAAACAGTTATTTTATTTTATTTCTGCAAACAAACCCAACTAAAAGTTTTTAAATTTACTGTTGAATATTTTTAAGGTTATGCACGTTAAAACACGTTTCCCTTTGTTTTTATAGATAAACAAGTGACTTTGATTTTGTTAGTACAATCATAGTGTGAAAACCTTTCTTCAACATTCATTTCCTTACATAATCATTTTGTCATTTTATTAATATTACTACAAAAGTGTTTCAATAAATAACAACACTAAATTAAATGAGTAAAATTGCTTATTGAATCCCAAAAGCTGCTAGATCAGATTGGTGCTTACATATTTCTTGATGGGATAGATGCCTTGGTGTTCTGAAGTAACAAATTGTTAGACATCTATAGAGATTATGTGAAAAATTATTGTTTATTGGCAATAACCTGTACCTACACCATATATCAATACTATATTATTTATGAAAACACCCTCATACAATGCACATGTTTAGAAAACAAAATCATGTCAGTCAAAATGTGTATAATATCAACATCTGGTTGATAGTTTTAGACTAGTTGTAGAACCAGAAAGAGATTTCCAAACCTACCTTTCAACCCGAAGGTTAAATTTGCATATCTTGAAAGCAGGTTGAAATAGCCCGTTTTAAAGTTTGTGCAATCCCTAAGATCTCTCCAGACAGTGGACAGAGATTCCAGTTGGCCAAAGGGATGTGAAAATACGTCAGAGATGCTGTCATAAGTAAATACTCTGTAATCATCAAGCATGCCATATGATGAGTATTTAGGTAGATATTGATGACCGGGAGCGAATGTCACATATATGATCAAACTGTGATGCCCTGTGGAGAAATAAAAAAAGACAAGAAAAAATTATACATTGCTGACTGTGAATATACTGGGTATTTTTTAAATACTTTGCGGTGCTTATGAACTTTCGTGAAGCTTTGAAAAGTGATGATTATCTCCCACTGATTGCTTAATATTTAATAATAAATGTAACATGGACACTTGCAATTAGTGAAAAGGAAAGGAAATTTGGCAACCCACCGGAGTATTCCGCGTGCAAAGCCACCAGAGAGGACAGCAACAAGAACTGTAATAATATTCAGGAAAATATGTAAACAGAATGAATAGAATGTAAATATATTCATTCTACTCAAGACACCTACAGTGTCTCTTGCAAACAGATCTCCCATCAGCACCTTAATTCTTATGACCAATTAGCCATTAGAAAATGATATTGAAAAATAATATATAATCTATCTGTATTACTGCATACAATAAGAAACAGGACGACAGTAGGGTGTTCAGATACGGGAATAAGCTATCAAGTTCCACACAGCACAGTTATTCACACAGCACAATAGCTTATAAATCTGATGACATCTTGTCATGTTATAGGCTCCTATATTCCTACTTATAAATGCTAATAAACAACAATACATTTTAGCAGGTATTTCAGTGGATTTGCTAAAAGGCTACATGCTATTGAATTATTTAGGTAACTTAAGTTGCCAAACCTGTTTTGCTCGTGTTGACATCGTGTCGGCTAATGGCCTTAACATCCAGTGATACTGCAATAGTTACTTTTGTTTTCGACGCCCCAGTTTACAGAACACAAGCTGCAATCTTTCCAGTCCAGAATCTGGTAAATATACATGTGAGACGGTTAAGACATCCCTACACTGATAATCGCTCTGATGTCGATGCACATTTCTTAGCTTGGTCGAGGCAGCTTCCAAACGATAACCAGCATATACATACGGTATAACAAATCCATCCTGACATGTTGCTTGATAAGACAAGTGCGGTTAGCAGCAGCGTCAACTTTTGCTGAAATCCTATTGGGCAAACGCTCTCCATATTTGGGTAGTTGACGTGACATCATGGCTTTACTGTAAACCACAATTAAGACTAATGTGTTGAATTAATATAATTTATAGGAAAAAAAATAACAGTTTCTAGTAGTGTTTTGTAATTTAGCTGCATCAAGCGACATGACAGTTTCCATGGGCTCATATTAATAATTTAATATGTTCATTAAAAAGTTAATTACTATGTGCATTAATTTTGAATTTAAAAACGAATTTAAAAACTTTTTAATTCAAAATTAAAAAGTTAATTTAATTAAAAGGAGAATAAAATAATAAAAGATTTGACAGTTATGTTTGAAAAACAACATTTCCAAAAATCATTGTATTTAACATAGTAGACAAATATACAGGTTATATGTATGTACAGAAGTCTGTGCCATGTGCAGTCTCGTCTTTTTTACTGGAATAAAAAAATGCTTCACTCAATGCTTTCAAACAAAACCCACATCAGCTTGTTTGGTTTTGGGTTACTGACTAAATTTCATGTGGCTTTTGTTACACAAGAAATTATGACAAATTCGACAGTATAAATAAGGCAAAATTACTTTGCATTATTGCACAAAAAAAGGAAGTTCTGTTTTGGGACATTTCAAAGTAATCATGTGATTACTGCTCATGTGAAAATTGAGAAATCAGCTCTTATGACACAATACTTGATTACTATAAATAATCTGTTGCAACAATTTAAGGTATTTATTACCTGATAATTGTGTGAGAATTGTTTCTTCGTTTAAAAACAGCGGTTTTATTTTACCATGAAAAAAAGAACATTTGGACATTTGAATCTAAATTTACTAACCACTCCAACAAATTATTGGCAGTACACATTCCAGTTCACTAGAGGGCAGAATTACACAGTGCTAAATAAGCACAGTCACCTATCATTACCTACTTAGTCTCGAAAAGTACTGTGCTTTTTGTGACTGAGTTAGTCATAGGAAGACTTGTTTAGTCTATTATGATGTGAGTTTATTTTTGCATTTGTGCTTACCAAGAGGAAGAACAACATTGCCTTGTTGTCACCAGTTATTCCCCAGGATCGTGGGGAGTCCTGACATCTCTGAGTCCAGTTTTTGTTGTGGCTTTGTTCTCTATTCCCTCCCCTCAGCAGGGTTCTTATAGAAAATATTATTCCTTATGAATAAGAGACTGAAACTCAGTGGCTAGACCGGAGAGACTCTCTCTGTAACAATAGATGGGGGAGACGTAATCTGTCCCTTGTTGCGTACTTCCTCTGTCAAACAGTCCCACCCAGATTAAAAAAAAACAGTAGGGGGAACTTTTACTTAACGTTTTAATTACGCAGTGTAAATGCACTTATTCCTTTCATGCATCAATTAGTCTTTAAATGCTTTTATGTAATCCCATATGCGACCTGGACCTTAATCTGATGTATTTTATAAACTGAATTTATACATTTACTTAAAGTGTAAGACTGATGTAAAATACTTAAATACTGTATATTCTCATTATAGTTGTGTCATAGACAATTATACTTCTTCAATTCAAACGAATCATTTTTTGTGGGATGATTTGTATCACTCTTCCAATCCTCCCAGTAGAAGTTTAGTTTGTATAATCAAAAAATGGTGACCAAAACATCAAATGTGTATCTGAAACCTTGCTAATATTACACAATTTATTTATTTGTTTGTTTATATATTTTTACATTATTACATTTTTTGACTTTTTAACCCATTTACCATTTTCGTTAGTTGAAAATGACTTTCACTGCATTATATATATATAATAGCAGTTGCAGCTTGCTTCAGAAACCCTCCACCTTCCCCAGCTCCACAGATCTGCTACGAGGTGATCGTGTATGCTATGGGGGTTATTTCATGTATGTTATATTTGCAGCAGCAATATTTCTTACATGCTCACAGCAGCATGTTGTGGATGTATTGGCAGTAGCAAGTCTCGATCCTTGTTCTGCCGCAGCAGCAGCGTAGCAGATCTATTCCGCCAAGACCAAATACATTAACATTGTCATGTACATTACCATGCCAATCCCTCCGAGAGTTGTCATGACAGAAATATAGTTTGGCAAATTTGGTAGATCTGCACTTTTGGTGCATGGTGCAGTACATTTTTAAGACTCCCCTAATATGATATTTACTGTAATCCTACATATTCAAAAGGATTAATGAATTTAACCCCAATCCAAATCCTTCAGTTTAAAGTCCAACACGAGAAGCACTTTCATTCAGACTTACTATTGGGCCACTGCAGCTGATCCAGGCCACCAAGATAGATATTCAAAGTTGTGGCAGAAGTGGGACTTCTGCCCATTGCACAGTGGCTTTCGATGCTTAGTTGCTCCCGGGCTCCAAATGAATACTTTGTAAAGGGCTCATTATCTTTTTGACAGATTTCTAAGGGCAGACAGAACATGTTTCTAATTGGACCACATGAAAAAGAGTGTACAGCAATACTCATGGTGGAACAAGAGGCTCCTCACCAATATAGTTAGAATGGGCCGCTCCATTAGTCTGAGTCATACTGTTCCATCATTAGCATAAAAGTTTCCATTTAATCCACAAGAAGGTGCTCTTTCATTCAGTGCCATGACATGTCACTGCAGATAATGAAAATGAATGAGATGAGGACACAAATAGATGGTGATGTGGACGCTGGCTTGATCAGATTGGTCAAGCTTTGCTCAGACAATGGCTGTCTCCGTTTGAACTTTGTGAACCCAAAACCAGTGCTCCCAACAAACATGAGACGTCGGCCCGACGTGCAGATCATGTCTATATTGCGTCGGTCGGTCCAGGACCATATCTGTACGTCTAATCGACGTGCAAATCCGGTACGGTATCTGGACGTCTGACTACGACCAGTGGCGGCTCGTCGGGGGAGGCGAAATTTTGAGGTGAAAATGGGAGGAGGACGATTTAATGTTAATAAAATTCACAATTCATTTCAGTTCATGTCTCAGAATGTGTATTTTTTGTTTGTAATTTCACAGTTGTAATATCATAACGTGAAAGCGCCGCTTTTCTGTCGCGAATGTGCCGAATCTGCTGATGTAATTGCAACCGCTAGGTGATAGAGAAGGGGAGGGGGAGGCCGGGGGAGCGCGGAGCTCTCGATATTTGATCGATTGAGCAGATTTACCAAGCTGTCATTCAAACAGTATATATACAAATTTAGGGAAAACAGCCTAAGCTGGATATAGGCTACAGCAGTCGGCTTAATTAAATGGCGCAACAGGCAGCTCTCTTTTAACAGACTTTTAAGAAGGATGGATGTTTGCTTCAAGTGATAGGCCTGGTAAGTGAAGTTATATTATCTTGCTGTATGTATGTCGTTTTCTTCACGTTTTCTGACTAAAAGCAACCAAAAAGCCATTTTAAAGTGGTTAAGCAAATAATATAATAATAATAATCGGCAGTGTACGTCTAATCGACGTGCAAATCCGGTGGTATCTGGACGTCTGACTACGACGTCCCTTGGACGTAGATATGCAGTTCAAAATTTGAACGTCTGAATAGGAGATTTTTTTTTTGGACGTCTGTACAACGTGCAGAACAGGTTCAGGAAATCGACGTAAGAACTTTTTATACAAATAATAACATGACAAAACAATCCTGTGAGTTCTGATTTAAAAAAAAAACGAAACATCACGTCTATTTTTTATGAAACATTTAGGTGTTAAAATAGTGTAATATTTAAATGTTTAAAATGTGTCCATTTAACTTTTTTTATGAGTGGTATGTTTCACTGAGACATTGACAGAAACAGCAGTTTTCATCTATGTGTGATGTATTAGATCTATTAATTAAATATAATTAATTAAATTAAATAGATTTAAAATAAAATAGATTAAGTTAAATAGATTTAAAGAGATACATAGAATTAAATGTAATAGATAACAATATTTAATAAATATTTAATAATGCTATATAATATTTATTATATTATTAATATTTATTACATATAATAAAATAGATTAGGTAAATTAAGTTAAATAGGTTTAAAAGAGATAAGTAGATATAGTATTTATATATGATATTTATTATATTATTATTGTTTTTATTATATATTATAATAATATAATTTTATATTTAATAATACATATTTAATAAATAGATAAATAGATTTAAAATGTAATTAAATAAATGGGTCTCTAAACGTGCGCTCGCGCGAGGGGCGTTAACGTAGTGACGTTAACGTGATGACGCAAGCAACCGGGCGGGAAGAAGGATTATATTAATTCTGTATATTACCAAAGACTGAAGATAATAACCACTGCGATAGATCCTTTATGTCATGTATTTAATCCTGCGTTGAGGACACTTTATAAAACCTACAGAGGATGGGACCCTACCTGTCCAACGAACGGCCTTCACAACGCGAGCATGCGACGCAGCAACTTGGAAATTCAAACAGTAACGGTCATTTGACAGACGAACGGGTGCTAAGCCAACGGTAAGCATTATAAATGTACTTTTATTCGTAATTTTGTCAATCTAATGTTACATTTTACTTTATATTTTTCTGTGTTATGACGTTTTTAATTTCCCCTTTTTGTAATTGTTATATCTCCATGTTGGTTAATTTGTGCGTGTGGTGGTCCAAGTGACAGGTACATTTATGTTGATCCCTTTTAGTTGCTTAAATTAGTGACTAAATCACGTAACTTTACAATAATGTAAGATTTTCAAAAGATCCTGTGTGAAGTGTTTGTTCTTGTAGTAAAATAGACTTTGTCGTGGATCTTGGATGCTCACGTGAGCCTGTGAAATTAGGCTGCTAAAAATTCCAAATAATTTTTAAAAACACTCTTTGAAACGATTCACTAAACACTAAATATCAGTATGGCAGTATTTTCTGATCATATGTTCACCACAGAGGCCAAAATGAGCATTGTGAAGCTTTATTTATATTTATAGTAATCGTTTATATTTCAATTGTGTTTCAGGGCAGTTCGTGAAGACAGAAACATAAGAGATGTTGTGACAATCTGCACAGTTCCAGTTCCACCTGCCACACCAGACTCTCTACTGTGTATGGATGCCTTTTTGGAGCCAGGGACCTCTTGCAGGGGAGAAGACTTTCCAAGGACCCCCTCATATCATAATTACAACAGTGTTTAAGGCTCACGTTAATGTGGGTGGGACTATAATGAACATAATATGATTGTTTTATTGGTGCAAATGTTGCCGTCAGCTGATTCGTCGCAGTATGGAACACCCTAATAATAATTGGCGGCGAGTCACCCACTCAGCGGAAACCTAGGAATTGGGGAAAAAGAAAACACAAGTAACAAGAAAAAACAAAAACAACAACTCCCAGGGAACGTAACAAATGTAAATACTGATTAATAAAACGAATGTTAAGAAACTTACGATAAATTCTTTATACATGTAATTTACTTTTCCTTACTCCGCAAAAAAAAAAATGTGTTTGGAAAAAACAGGCATGGAGATGCTTACACTGAACAACACAACCTACATATTGGATTATATCAGCGGTATGCGTATCCATTAGATAAGATATCATTCAAAACGGTCTATTTTTATTTGTGTACCTTCAAAATAACTGAAACGTCATACTTTTTGTAAAATAAAGAAAACAAACAAAATGCGCTTGCAGTCTCAGTTTCCATGAACCTCTTCCTCAAATGTAGAAAAACACAGCAGTACTTGTCACACAGACATGAGAGATATATTTATTAAAACTTTTAAGTACCCGCTTTTAATTGTTTATGTTTTGCTTAGTCTTAATGGGACCCCTTCAAAGTCACTTTGGAATAATTCAGCACATCTCAGAAAATTAAAAAACATGTCTTGTAGTCTGGAAAATACGGTATAGCAAATTATTTTGCGGACCCCTTGGCTTTGGGTCATGGACTCCAGTTTGAATACCCCTGCACTAGCATATTTTGTTCTTATTATTGTGCATGCATATATTATTTGGGTACATGAACACTTGATTATTGCATGAGCAAAGAATATCATCTTTAAGAATTTTATGGTAATTTCAGTTGCAAAAAGTTTTTGTTTTTTTCCCCCCAGTTCAGCTCCAACAGGTGAACATAATGTATGGACCCAACTAAACTTAAATTGTTTGTTATTTGATCATTGTTATCCACTGTACAGTAAGTGAAGTTTCTTTTGTTTTCATGGTTTTTGTACAAATACACTGAGTCTGTAATTTGATTTACCTGTACAAATAAAAATTACATTGACAAAAACATGAGTTTTAATTGAATACAGCCTAAGAGTGTTTATTTTGTCCAGAAACAGTATAAATGACGTCTAAATGAGACTGCAGTTGACTTTATAAGACGTTGAAAATACGTCCAACAATGACCACATCTGAACTAAATTTTAACCTCTTAGAGACGTCCTGTGGATGTCAATATTGGACATCCAAAAGACGTCATAAAAACTTCCATTCTGGCTCTTCAGGGGACGTCATTTCAACGTCTGATAAAGACGTTGAAGTGACGTCGTTTGGACGTACCTTTGCTCAGTGTCTACCCATGTCAGATTCACAATGTTTCAAAGGGCTCTTTGAAACTGAAATATCTGTATTTATTCTACCATCTGTATTAACATACTGTATGAATTGCAAGACCTATATAAGAAATAAACACAAGGGCTCCTGGTCATTAACCCTGTTAACCCTGGGTTCACAGAATGCTATGTTATCTTTTTAGGTGTTTCACACTTTTCCATATTTTCTTTTAAGTGTATATTCAAATCTGCCATGTTTATGCTCTTATTTGCGTATTTGTGGTGTGACCTGTTTAAATAATGGTTTGTATTATATATTTGCTTAAGGTACCATCAAGATGTTGAGAAATAAACTTTTTGGATCATAACAGTTTTTTTTGGTTACTCCAGTTAACAGGTATTCTGTCACTGTTTGACAATTCCCACAAACACTGAAATGAATACAGTGCATGAAAGTTTCTAAAAATGCAAAAATGCACCTGAAAGCCCATACACAAAAGTTTCATAACCAGGCAGGTCTAACCCACTTTCAAAATCACAAATGTGAAACACTTAACCCAGGGTTTAAAAACACTGATTACTATAGGGTTGAGCATAGCATGAAAAGCACTACAAAGTCTCTTAAATCCAATATAGCCTATAGTATTTAATTGTTTTAAAGGCACTCAAATGTGAAACAGTCATGTGATCAGCGCCACTGTGCTCAGGTGAGAAAATAATGCAGATGAACACTTATATAAAGCTGAGACGGGATTGAATTTCCAGTCATGCGAAGGTGAGTCAGAGAGAGTGATGCATAGAGCCATGTTTCAGCTCAAGAGGTCACATGACCTGAGGATTAACAGTATAATGTCCTTAAACTCATCCTTCACAGGAAAATGCCAGCCATTAACACTACACTGTAATTGTTACCTTAAGATGTTAATTCTACCTGACCTGACCTTCTAAAAATGACTTTTTGTTGGTGTAACCTAATGTAGTCCGGTTGATTTAGTCATAATAGTATTGTTTTGACTTAATTCAGATGTAAATGCTGATAATTCTAAAACCCAATTAATTTAGATGTTACCACATGACTAATTTTTAGGTTTACATCACAACACTTTTTTTTTGTAAATGATATTGTATTACTTTTCAAATCAAACAACATTTAATATGACATAAGTGCAGTCCTATTTTGGTAAATGATCAGTATTATAGAGACTGAACCACATCTTTGAAAAATATAAGTAAGCTATTTGGAAGATTTTAGTATTTGACAACTGCACCTTGCATTTATGTAGAATGAATGACCTTTTATTTCATCATGCTCAGTTTCACTGCTGTCAAGTGAGAGGTGTTGGCAATCATAGCCATGCAAACAATAATGCTTTCATTGATAAGTCTCCCATTCAGAAATAGCCTCGAGATAAGTGTGTAGTGGCCTGCATGCACAAACCTTCACTGGCTCAGTCATGTGTGGACCAACACTTTCCGCTGTAGGCCTATTAAATGAATCTTAGAATCATTGATATATATTTTCCCTAATTGTAAACAATCTGGATGAATTGCTTACAAGTTAAAAAAAGAAGATAATGGCATTAAAGGCAATAAATAAGTCATGGCATAGACACATCTTTGATTTACTGAACAATACCAGCCTACAGACACCCACCAAACCCACCCTGTCTTTGATCCAACATTTGTCTGTTATTGTTTATAATGCCTATCAAAGAACATTTATTTAGTCCTGAGGAACCAACGTCAACAGAAACTTTCCAAATCCTTTGGAAAGGAAAAAGGAAAAATCCTTTTTTTATGATATGAAGACAATGAAAGAGATTTTATTTTCTTTTTCTTTTGCATACAATTTTGCCTACTGTGCATACTCTTTCCTGCTGTGAAGAACAAAGGCTAAGGATGTGGCTTCAGGATGAAACAACAATGACAAAGCTACCAGCACTACCAGATTACCAAACCTGTTCCTGTATTTAATTATATTATTATTTAATTAAATTTTTTTTAAATAACAGATATTTTAATAGGCTTATGTTATTTCAGTTGTGATACATTAATTAATTTGTCAATTATGGCATAGTTGATCAGCATTGTTGGTGTAAATTTGGAAAAGAATAATACATTATAAAAAAATCTAAAAGGGCAATTATAGAAATGATAAAAAGAAGTGTATTTCTTTTTTTGTCAACATCAGGATTTAAATAATTTTACACCATTTATTCCTTGTAGTCTCAGTTAATAAGGACATAAATTAGCATGAGTGATAATTATTGATAATTAAAAAATAATGATATTTTCCATTTAGAGTGGGTATAGCATTGTCACACGTCAACTTTTAATGCCTCTGTCACTTACATTTATTAGTCAAAAAAAAAAATAATATATATATTTTTATATATATATATAGCATGTGGATGCTCAAATTAGATTGTGTCCAGTGTCCAGATTACAAGATTAAAAATCGACGCATTTACACCACTTAATTGAATACGTGCAGCCAATCGGGGAGACCATTTCCAATCATGCCTGTGTGTAGGCTACATCGTCATTCGGACAGAGGTAACTAAGCAACAGCCAATCAGAGCCTGTGTTAGAGAGTTTATAATAAGCGCTTTACTCCACTGATGGCAGTTCTCTGAACGCACCTGACAGACTCAAAGACGATACAAGTTCGACTAACAGAAGACATGAAGGCTTCTTTCAGTACGACAAATTGAATGATACATTGTGGATTTTAAATTGTAATATTTTCGCGCTTTTTTATTAAGTGGATTTTAGGACTGCAGTTTTACACCACAACGAAAAGAAGAAAATTTTTTCAAAGCATTTTTAACCTGCCACCATGGAGTCTAATAAAAAGGTAATGTCATATTGTTTGCCTTATCACTCTAGTGTAGTGATAGTTTACCAGTAGTGCCTGAGGAATTAGATGGGAGAGAGTTTCAGTAAATTCTTAAAACATCCAAGAAAGCAAAACTAGATTTGTCTTATTCTGTCATTTAAAAAAAAGAAATAGAAAGCAAACTTCATTTTGACGGACAGAACAGATACATCTCTTTAACGCTCATTTATATTTTTGAGTTGAGGTTTTATGCATCTGTACCTAGACAAATAGTAAAACTTTATTTATTTATTTATCAATCAAATAAATCCTATTTTTGTCTCCAGCCACAAAGATCTCATACCATCAGATTTAAACCCTTAAGTAATGGAAATACGTAGTAAAACCTTCTAAGACATCTCAGACCACAGCCTTACAGAGGTTTAGAGGAGAAACAGATTAATTACATCAACCATTTGTGTCATTGACATAAGACTCATTTATCTTGTTTGCCTGGAAAAGTAAAGTGATGAAAGTACTTTGTACTTGATTAATGTATATGCATATGCATTATAATGAACTAATTTTTGTAGAACAATGACATTTGGTTTATTATAACTGTGTGCTAAAGGGAACTAGAAGAGCAGTGCTCTTAAATTGAGATTATTAACTTGCTGCTGTAAACCCTTTGAAGTCTAAACCCCTTTGATTCAGTGGCTCAGTGGGCCTTGCATTGCTTATTTTCTATATGTTCATTTGATCAGGAATGTTAAGCTTTTAAGGACTTGACTTGAGGCCAATGTTACTCAGTGAACATTGGTAAATGCACATCAATTTATTAGCTTTTTTATGCATGCATTTTATTGCAGCTGCAATTAATTCCATGTATTAACCTGTGGTTACATAATATTTAACAAGGTTTAAGTGTTACTTGTAAACACACGTGCTACAGTCTGTGGTCGAGTCAGAACTGTACCGAGCATGACCGTCAGGGGGCGCAATTGTCCCACAGTGAACCTGCCATAACCGTTATTTTCTATTACAAGGAATGTTTGTAAACCACAGCGTTTCTGCAGTAGGCAGGGGTCATATTAAAACACTATTAAAGGCTACTGATGTAACCTTCTTAAGCTTGAGAATAACTAGTGTTTTCTACATATGACGGGTAGAGGGTTGGATTCCCAGAATAATATAGGCCTATATTGTCAAAAATTTTTAGTTTAAGGGTTTTCGCTTTTTAATACACAATTGTAGAGTGTTACTCCAGTTGAGAACAGAACTGTTATTTGGGGTAAGAATGCTAAGGAGCACGTATGAAATCACATGCCGGGTTTAGCAGTATTTTATATTGTTAAGCCGACCCTTAGTGCTAGAGCTCACGATGAAGTCATTGTCTTTGAAGGCCTGTTGAGCCTGTTATGTAAAGACCTGTGGTTGTTGGAGTGGATTGGAATAAGAGGCTGGAGTAGTTGTGGTACGTGTGAGTGAGTTGGTTCAGGTGCTGCCCGATCTGTAATAGGATCATACTTAATAATCAACAGGGTTTCCCACATTCAGCATCTTACATTTTGCTGCTTAGTGGGTCCTCAGTTCTGTGGAATAAACCATTGTTCACAAGTAGGTTAGAAACAAATGTCAAAATAATTTGAACAGTTTAATTTTTATTTATTTTTAACCAAACAGCAAAGCTGAGAAAGGAATGGAAGGGCCATGTTGAATTGACTATTGTATTATACATTGACTGAGTGAAAAACTGCATGGAAATTGTACATTCAG